CGACAAGGTGGCCGGAGAGGGTGGCTACAGGTGGAACAAGCGCGATGCCGGGTTCGACGCCGACAAGGTCGCCGGACAGACGGGTGAAAGATGGGTCAAGCGTGAGGGAGACTCGTTCGACGTCGACAAGGTGGCCGGAGAGGGTGGCTACAGGTGGAACAAGCGCGATGCCGAGTTCGACGCCGATAAGGTGGCCGGAACGGGTGATTACAGATGGAACAAGCGCGTTGCCGAGTTCGATGCCGACAAGGTGGCCGGAACGGGTGATTACAGGTGGAACAAGCGCGACTATGCCGACTTCGACGCCGACAAGGTAGCCGGCCCCTCGGACGAGACCTGGAGAAAGCATTAAGAAGACCCCTTCGATGCGGACAAGGTGGTAGGCCAGGGTGACACATATGGTCTGAACCTGTCAGGTTGGTGAAGCTGGCGACGTGGGTCGGGGGCACGTGGGGGCCTGGAGAAACAAAGCCGGAGGATTGAAGTGGCAGTGCAGTCAGCAGTTTCGAGTTGGTCGAAGTGTAGCTGTTCCATACCATCTGTACCTCGATCGATTTGTTGATTTTCCATGGACACGCGAGGCAGTTCGGGCAACTTCAAGTAGGAAAGAGTGAAATCTTGGCAACGAGAAATGCACGGCCGCCTGATCGATACAACGTCCACACTTGGTGCGCCGACAGGTGTTCCTCACCAGCTGGGTGCTGGAAAAGTTGCAGATACGCGTGGGGGATGTAGTCAGAAGGTTGTCGGATGTTGAATCAGGCTGAGCCGGAAGCGGCAATCCCGTGATTTCTCAGCCGGGCCCCGCCAGACGCGTTCTGATTGGCCGAGGGAATGGAACGCGCTCCGAGGCTACGACGGTGTTCCGGTGTGCTGACATTGTTCTTTCTCGAGTGGCGACGGGGAAGATGCACGTCTCGCACGCTCCCAACGACCGCTACTCAAATGCCGGCGATAAAGAAGATAGAAATGGCGTGGAAGTCGCCGGCGCTCTTGCTGGTGGCTGGGCTGCTTGGGCTCGCCGTCGCCTGTCTGTTACACATCAACCGCCTTCTCCGCCACGTTCCGGCGCAGGCGCGGGAGCTCTCGGGCACGCGTTGGAGGGCCGATGAGCTTCGCGCCCTGTACCACGCCCTGGCGAAGAAGCCGATTGACTATACGGAGAAGCTGCCGCCAAAGCTCGACAGGCGGTATATTGTCACCGGCGGCAATGGTTAGTAATTGCCCGTAGTCATGCCTCCAAATACCAGCCGCTTACCGACCATTCCCAGGGCTTGTCGGAGGCTTCATCGTCCTTCAGCTTCTCGCGCGAGGCACGCCACCGTCGCACATTCGTATCCTTGATCTGCGTAAGACGGAGCGCGGTGATATGATCAATGGACCCGCAGCACAAGTCGACTTCATCCCCGTTGACATCAGATCCGCCGGCGCCGTCTCGCTAGCTTTCAGCAAATCGTGGCCTGCGTCCGCCTCCCATCTGCCCCTCACCGTCTTTCATACCGCTGCAATCATCATTCCCTCGGAACGCCACAAGCACACTTACACCTTGCCGGAAAGCGTCAATGTACAGGGAACCCGCAATGTTCTCGCAGCTTCGCATGCTGCCGGCGCGAGTGTGTTCAGTGCCACATCTTCTGCCGCCATTTCAATCGTTCCAGTGGACCTGCGCGTTCCCTTCTGGGCGGAGTCGGCGAAGAATGCTTGTCAAGTACTTGATGAGCGAGATTTTGACGCACCTCTCCGCAGCGACGACGGGTATTACTCTAATTACGCACGCTCCAAGGCCATTGCGGAGAGGGTTGTGTGTGGAGCAAATCAGGACGATTTCAGGACTGGGTGCATACGCCCGGGCATTGGAGTGTACGGGAACCCTACCGACAATACGGTCGGCGGCCCTCTGAGCCAGAATGTTCAGCCGACGTAGGTCATGCGTTCTTCATCGCTCCATACCATCGGATGCTGACCACAGATTATAGAATGATCCCACACGTCGTGCAGAATTTCGTGCACGCCGCAAACGTGGCCGTGGCGCATCTTCATCAGGAGAGCGTGCTACTCTCCCAAGCGCATGTCAAAGACATTCCGCAAGCCGGGAGGCCGTTCGCCGTCACCGATCCCAACCCTGCCATCGCATACGTCGACATCTACACCGCCATCTCCGCCCTCAGCATCTACCCGTTTCGTGCTCAAATCCTGCCACCTGCGCCGCTGTTCATCTTCTCCCATCTGGTCGAGTGGTACACGCTTCTGCGGCACCACGTGCCCAGCTTACAGAAAACACTCCCCCCCGTCGCGGGCGTGGTGAGCTACCTTCAACCGGCAATCTTCTCCATATGTACGCATCTCCTCGTCTCAGACGTAGCAGCACGGAAGCCCGTGGCCAAAGGTGGCCTGGGGTACGAAGGCGTCCTGACTACCGAGCAGGGGATAGTCAGTGAGATCTTGGAATGGAATCGCGAGCAGCGTGCGCACGCTGCTTCTCTGGGCGTCAATGGAAGTGCAAAAGTGGAGCTCAAGAAAGCGTACACCACGTCCAACTCTTTGGCCGATCACATACGAGCATTGGCGGACGTGGGAAATGTGTCTGATGTAAATGGTAAATTAAAGTAGCGTAGAGGGCCATTCACTCGCTTGGCAATCTCCGCTTCAAAGGGTGTGCCTCTGTGTTGAACACATAATCGTCAAGGCTGATCAGGCTCGGCTCGCTGAAGATTAGATAGAAGTACTTCAGCGTCTCGGCCAGCCAGAAGCTCTCCATACTGTCCTCTTTATTCTTCTGCAGCCCCGCATCATCGTTGGCAAGAGTGATGTCTTTCAAGGCCGCATTCGCCAAGATTGTCTGTGTATAGTTGGAGATGGCCGTGAACATATCCCACGCCGCGTCTAAAAGATACTCCTCGCCCGTCATCCGGTATAGGAGGAAAACGCTCTCGATGGCCTCTGGTCGAAGGATGTATCGACGGTCCGAAATCTGGGAGAAGCCTGGCGGTAAACGGTTTTGGCGCACAATGTCCTCGATGGATGAATGACTAGAACGGGCATTGCGCTCCTGCACATCCTCTAGCCACGTTGTCTTGTTCCACTCGCAACTCACCATTGACTCACACATGGTCATGCGGAAGACTTCGGGCATGATGCCAAGGGGAAGCGCCTTGTAGGTCCAGATGCATCCATCGACGAGCTTCCTCGCTATGCTCATGTGGGCCGGGATTTCGAACAGCTTGCTTCCGAGTGCAAACATTCCACCGGCGAAGCATACGAGATGCTGGCCTTGCGGATCAAGTCCCGCGACGGAATCTTGGGAATGCCGCTGGACTTGACCGGATATTAAAATGTCTGCATTGTCTGGTGTCATGGGGCGGAACAAGTTGTACTCCGTCGCAGTCTTCATACTGTCCTCGTAGAGTTTTCTGTAGATAGGATCATCTCCGCCCAGCAGCGCATGCATCTATCTGAGGATTAGCGGCTTGCACGGAGATTGATTGATTACACTTGGGCATCTCACCTTGGGAAAGTACTCGTACAGAGAGTCCGACATTGCCGAGAGGGTGAAGAAAGAATCTTGTGTAAAGTCGGCGTCCTTGGCATTAATGGTGACCGGCCACATGCCTGGTTGGTTGGTTTTGTGCTGCTGTTCCGCAAACTTCCGCGTGATACGATCCGTGGCATCATACCATTTGGGGTCCCCGGTAAGCTGGGAAAGGCGAGTGAATTCCATGCTCAGAGATCCAATCTCTGCAACGAGCACCCTTTCGTTGGCTTCTTGGGAAGCGAGTAGCGCAGCATACGGCTGCCATCGGGTAATTGGCATTCGATTTGGCGTGTCAAAGGCCACGATGAGCATATCGCCAAACTGCTTCGCCTTGGACAGCAGCCTGCGGTCCCCACTCAAGTCATAGGCGGCGAGAAGCCCTCCAAGATGGCGGATGGTGGTCTCAAAGACGTTGATTGTGTCGTCGGTGCTGTAAGTCAGATCGATTTTCAGAGTCGCCGTCACCGCTTCCCAAAACTCGGTCTTCAGCCCCATGATCCATAGGGTGTCGAGGCTGTCCACCAGTGTTGCCGCCCACCCGCCAAAGGTGTTGTACGAAGATCCGGACAGCGGTGCCACTTCGTCGGCCATCCAGGCATGCTCTCGATACGCGGTCCAGCAGCGTTCAAACGTTTGCCGCACCGCCAGCTGCCGCACCTTCTGCTTTGCCGCGTGTTCGCCGGTCTCGGGCGGGAAGCGATACTGGACACTTGGCAGCGCGCGTGGCTTGACGGTTGACAACGGTTTGATGGAGCCGACAGGAAAGCGGACGGGCACCAGCTCCCATCGTAGACGGCCAGTGACGGGATCGATGAGCGGTTCTCCGGAGGCACTTTTCGTGAGCGGACCATTTCGCGCTTGGGAATGTCGGAAGTGTCGGAGCAACACGAGCAAGCAGATGCCAACGCCCAGATATATGGCGTATCGACGGTAGAATATCATCATCGCGGTGGGCGTCAATCTAGTTCATCTCGTCTTTTCGAATGATCCGCGCGGACAACTGCTGCGACGGAAGGAGTCGGTTTCCTTGAAAAAGGGCAGAAACAAGACCAACGCCGGCTGTCAGCCAACGACCAGGATTATCATGACTCCTCTGTACACTGGATGTAGATGCGCTGTGCGGAATGTAGTATATGGCGAGAAAGAAGTGCAGCCTGAGGGCGCAGGAGTTGCTTAGAGGTATCGACATGCCACGACTTCTGACACCGCCTTTGCATGACGCCATATTTGACACGCTGTCTTTGCCATTAATTGCTGCGCGTCTTCCGCGGCGCGTGTTGGACCTCTACGTCCAAACGACTACATCCATACGCAGCGACTCCAACATGGCGCGTGCCGAATCTTCAAAAGACGCCGAGAGTAATGGGACGAAGAAGACTGCAAATGGGTCGAATCACAGCTACGAATTGCCATGGTCAGCAGCCCAGTCGCCTTTGTCCCATGACGGTACTGACAAAATCTCGCGCAGGGTTGAGAAATATCGTCCAATCTTCCTCGACGACATTGTAGGCAACACCGAAACCATTGAACGCCTCAAGATCATTGCCAAAGATGGCAACATGCCACACGTCATCATCTCTGGAATGCCCGGCATCGGCAAAACCACCTCCGTCCTCTGTCTCGCCCGCCAACTTCTCGGAGATGCCTACAAGGAAGCCGTGTTGGAGCTGAACGCCAGCGATGAAAGAGGTATCGACGTGGTGCGGAACCGGATCAAGGGATTCGCGCAGAAAAAGGTCACTCTGCCGCCTGGGCGACACAAAATCGTCATCCTCGACGAGGCCGACAGCATGACTTCCGGCGCACAGCAAGCCCTTCGGCGCACCATGGAGATCTATGCTGGTACCACCCGCTTCGCCTTTGCGTGCAATCAGAGCAACAAGATCATCGAGCCGCTGCAGTCTCGATGCGCCATTCTCCGCTACTCTCGCTTGACCGATGCCCAGATTGTCAAGAGGCTGTATCAAATCTGCAAGGCGGAGAATGTAGAGTACAGTGATGATGGGATCGCCGCGCTGGTGTTCAGCGCGGAGGGAGATATGCGTCAAGCCATCAACAATCTTCAGAGCACCCATGCCGGCTTCGGCTTCGTGAGCGGAGATAACGTCTTTCGGGTGGTAGACAGCCCACATCCGGTGAAGGTGCAAGCGATGATCAAGTATTGCCAAGAGCAGAAGATAGATGACGCGCTTGACATCCTCAAGGAGCTCTGGTGAGGCTGCCTCTACATGCGTTCGGCAAACTTCCAACTAACTCGTATCAAACAGGGACCTGGGCTACTCATCCCACGACATCATCTCCACCATGTTCAAAGTCACCAAGAACGTGCCGTCGCTTTCGGAGCATACGAAGCTCGAGTTTATCCGGGAAATCGGATTCACCCACATGCGCATCCTTGATGGAGTGCAGACGTATCTCCAGCTTGCCGGATGCGTCGCCAAGCTCTGCAAGCTGAATATGAAGCCTCAACTCTTTGTCGTGCCGCAAGGTTGAACAGCAGTGCTGTCGAGTCTAGATCAACGATCAACGCTACGCAGCTTGCTGACTGGCCATATTACCCTCGCGCTCATACCCTGTGGCTGCCGGATATCATTGTCGATGCAACTGTATCCACTTGATGCGTGACGCGCTTGTTGAACACCGCAAACGGTGCACGATGCATCAACATCGATCACATCGGACGGGTGGAAATGACGGATATGGCGGGCGACGGGCGCATGATGGACTACGAAGACTACGGAGACTACAGTTTACTCTGAGCCGCACCCGAACCGATATCCCTCAACTCACGTTTGGGCGTCCACGCTCCAAGCTTGGGATGCTCCGGGCTCTTCTCTCGCACATCCCAGCCGTATGCCTTCCAAGCCCACGCTTTGTCTTTCTCCTCACCATTCGACCGATCCTCGAGCACGTTCACAATGTACTTGCCGATGTTTGGAAGGAATCTGTGCGCAATTAGCAGATGAGTCTAGTCTAGCTTTGCAGCCAAAACACCTTACTTGTACGCATGCGAACTACCACCCGTGGCAATGTAGAGGCCGGAAAGATTCCCATGCGGATACTTGCAGATCAAAAAGTCTTCGGTGGGCGTTCGAGCATCGTAGCAGATGCGCCAATGATCGGCCTTCTTGCCCTTGGTGAAGGTTGGCAGGAGTCTGGACAGTATGCCCGTCTCGGCCTCGTGTTTCAGCGCGTCTGGTATGTCGTTCAATTGACTCTCGTACGTTGAACCTGCCGGGCAAGTCACTTTGGCGCCGCTTGGGGTAGTAACGGTGTTGGTGAAGGAATGATTGTGTGTGTATTTCAACAACTTGTTCTTTGAATGAGGCGGCACCACTTCTCCTTCTTGCCCATAGATGATGACGGGGACTTTGTGCTCCTCGAACCGCCGAATCTCTTCGTCCGACACGGGGTAGTAGATTTGGAGAACGCCAATGGTGCGGAGTTGATTCTCGATGCGATCCCTGGATGAGACCTGGAGCGTGTCTTCCAACGGTGATAATAGGCTACTCGTCCATGCACCTGCGGCGATGACAACCTTGTCGGCTCGGAGCTCTTGACCATCCGTGGTCTCGACGCCTACCACTCGAGAGTTGCCTTCGTCCAGCAGAATCCGGGCCACGCCTGCATTCACCCTGTTGATACCCTTCTTCTCTGCGGCTTGCATAAAGTTATGCGTGGCGCCCGCAGCATCACACCAACCGACTTCAGGGCTGAAGTAGGCCGTTCCAAACCCCTTGGTGTCGGTGCCTTCCAATACGCCTCCCCATTGTTGCGGTAGGTCATCCAGCGACAGGTCTTCTGTGGGGTCGGAGCCGCGATCGCGGTATTGCTGGCGGATTGCATTGGAAAGTGAGGAGTCTTTGGAATCGTCCATCATTAGCCAGCCCGTCTGATGAAAGTACGCCTGCAGCTCCATGCTCCAGAACCAAGCGTGCCATGCCTCGTACGCCAGATTGTTGTAGAAGGAGCTGGCGTAGTCTGTCCGAATGATGCGGTTGATGTCTACGCCGGCGGCGGGCTTTGGAGGACTGGTCGCACGGTCAACAATCGTCACCTTGGATGTATCGTGGTATGTCTGGGCGAGGTGATAGGCTGTGGATGTTCCGAACGTTCCGGCACCGACGATGAGCACCGAGGGCTCGTCGCTGCCCTTTGCTTTTGCAGAGACGCCTTGTCCGGTGATCCAGTGAGACATGTTGGATGTGATGGATTGCCTCAAGCCTCTGTGGATTCGAACAGAGAAAGAAAGAATGAAAAATGAAGTAAAAGGCCGGAGAGATCAGCATGGATAAACGTAAACCCCGCACTGTGGCATCACAGTTCTCGAGGTATTCTTGTACTCATTGTGGTTGGTGGTCGTCGAGGCTGTCACCCCCGACAGGGTTCTCCGCATCCGTATGCAGGGCAACAGCTGTCGTCTCTCCCCGGCCCCAAGTTGTGCCGTACGAGCGGTTGGGCATGGGATTTCGTGTCGTTTCAATAGTGAAGACATGAAGCTGCTAAAAAGTGGATTGCAGATACCAAAGGCACAAGGGCCATTCCCTCTCCTCAGCGTCTAATCGCTTGAACGCTTGCAAAAACATGAAGAGCTGCTCGTTGCTCATGGACTGCTATTGCTCATCAGAAGTACCGCTACCGTCGCGCCTGTCAGGGTCAGTCAGCTTGCTAGTCCAATCCTCCGCGGGCGAAGGAGATCACATACGGAATGTACTGAACCCCAGCATTCTCCGCCGCCGTGATATACTCGATCGGCAACTACAGTCGGTCGTCAGTTGGATCATCCCAGTACGCCCGAACCAGTAAAACTCACAATGCCGACCACCTTAACAGCATAGAGGCCTGGCGCATAGCCCTCGAGTCGCTGCCACTTGGCCACCCAGCTGCCTCCACCACCGTTCAGCGTGATCAGGCCTTCGTAGACCTGACTGGTGCAGTCGAGTACCGTGTCTTGGCTGTTTCGCATCTCCAAGAATTCCTCGCAGTTGGGACAGCCATCCTTGACGAACTTGGAACCGTGCTGGACAAAGGAGCACACCAGACACGCGCGTGCCGATCGCAGCGACATGTTGGCGGTGGTGTTGAGGTGAGCGAGAGTTGGATTCTTTTAAGGATTCTGTCGTTGGTCCACGTGTGGTGTCCTCGCCAGATGGTGGATTGATCACGATGGCGAACGTTGACAGAGTGCAGATGTGTTGAAAGAAGGAAAGGCTGCGCTGGCGGCGGAGGAACAATTTTGAGTTGGCAAGACTCCGGGCTCGGCCCGACATCCGACTTCATGTGGGCGCACGAGCCGCCATTGAACTTAATGCAGGCAGCGCATCTTTTTGCGGCCTGCTCTCGTGCTTGTCGATGGGATAGGATTCCGCTCACCTCACACCTCTCCACCGACTACCATCCCACCGGGTAAATACACTCGTCATCTCCACCCACTTTCCCGCCTCGAAGGCCACTTGGCCAAAGCGACTACACCCCCGTAGCCAACATGGCGGTGGAAACGGCGGTGGAATTAAAGAACAAGGGCAATGAGGCCTTCAAGAACCGCGATTGGCCCACGGCCATAGAATACTACACCAAGGCGATCAATGCCGACGACAAGGAGCCCGCCTTCTACACCAATCGCGCCCAAGCACACATCAAACTCGAGGCCTACGGCTACGCCATTGCAGACGCCACCTCTGCCCTCGACCTCAATCCCGACTTCGTCAAAGCATACTACCGAAGAGCCGTGGCAAACACCGCCATCCTCCGACATGCCGACGCGATCCACGATTGGAAGATTGTCGTCAAAAAGAGCCCGGCGGACAAGGTGGCGCGGACGCAGTACGATGCGTGCCAAAAGCTCGTCAAGCGCGACGCCTTCCTCAAGGCCATTGAGGTCTCAGATGCCCCCTCGGCCGCCGAAGGGCTCGATCTGGACAGCATGGTCATTGAAGAGGGCTACGACGGCGTGAGGTTAAAAGATGAGATGACACAGGAATTCATCGACGACATGATTGAGCGCTTCAAGGTCGGGAAGAAGCTACATAGGAAGTACGTCTTCCAGATAATATTGAAGGTCAAAGAGCTGGTATACAACGAAGCGACCATGGTGGAGACACACGTCGAGCCGAGCCAGAAGATCACCGTCTGCGGTGACACGCACGGACAATACTTCGACCTTCTCGAAATCTTCCGGTTGAATGGCTTCCCCTCGCCCACGCATCATTACCTGTTCAACGGCGACTTTGTCGACAGGGGCTCGTGGTCCACCGAAATCGCCCTCCTTCTCTACTCCTACAAATGGCTCTACCCCTCAGGCTTCTTCCTCAACCGCGGCAACCATGAGACCGACGACATGAACCGCATGTACGGCTTCGAAGGCGAATGCAAGGCCAAATACAGCGAGCGCGTCTTCAAACTCTTCTCCGAGTCCTTTTCCGCATTACCCCTCGCCACCCTCATTGGCGACAAGTACCTCGTCCTCCACGGCGGCCTCTTCTCCGACGATGCAGTCTCCCTCGACGACATCCGCAAGCTCAACAGGCATGCTCAGCGACAACCCGGCCAGTCCGGACTCATGATGGAAATGTTGTGGACCGATCCGCAAACAGCACCTGGTCGAGGGCCCTCGAAGCGTGGCGTTGGCATGCAGTTTGGCCCTGACGTGACGAAGCGCTTCTGCGAGAAGAACGGGCTGGAAGCGGTCATTCGAAGCCACGAGGTGCGCATGGAAGGGTACGAAGTGGAGCACGACGGCAAATGCATCACCGTATTTTCCGCGCCAAAGTACTGCGATTCGACGGAGAACAAGGGCGCGTACATCAACATCGAGGCGGACTACAAGTTGCAATTCCACAAATTCGATGCAGTACCGCATCCTGATATCAAACCTATGGTGAGTACCTTGACATCTGTCTCGTGAGCGATTGACGGCTGACTTTTCTGCAGGCATATGCGCAGAATGGCATGATGAGCATGATGGGCATGTGAGTGAGTGGTCACGTTTGATTTTGCATGGTGAATGTATAGCATACATAGATCCAGCGCGGCGTTTGGATACCTTGGACGCTGGACATACTTGCATAGCCCTTGAAGGACGATTGGCCAGCACCGCTCGTGATGGAGTGATGGGGGTGGATGATCTGCTAGACTTATCCAGCGCAATTGGTCTTGCCGGGCCTTGCTACCAACAGATACGGCTATGAACGAGGCTCATAGACACCAATCCAACGTCGCCCCTATGCGAAGGTCGTTTCGGATGCGTCTCTTCCACCTCTGCCCCTGAATCCTTGGCCGCCCCTTGTCTCGTAGCCACCGCGACCACCTCGATACCCTCCACCGCGGTAGTTGTTGCTGAAGCCACGTCCACCACGGCCACGACCGCGGAAGCCGCCGCGATACCCTCCTTGATCCACAGAGCCTTGTCCGAACGTTTCCATGTTCTTGCTCCGCTCCTCGCGCCGCATCGCTCGTCCATCAATCGATGTATCCTTCTCCATCTGCTCACGGCGGTCTTTGAGATCACTGCTGATGTTGTCGAAGAAGCTGGATTGTTTGTCGTAGCCCTTCTCCGTGCTTGGCTTGGTGGGAATGACGATGTCCTCCTCCTTGTCGCCGGCCAGCCCATTCGCATCTGCGTGTCCGACCTCCCCATTGGGAGGAGTGGAAATTGGACTACCAGGAACAATGGCATCCTTCACCAAATCCTGCTTGTTGAACTTGGCATTCGCGCCCTCGAAATCGTAGTCTTCCTTGGGGACGTCGATGGTGGTCGGCCCGCTCTCTCGACGCCCACCACGTGGGGCACCACCCCGCCCGCGCCCACGTCCACGTTGCTGCTCCTGCACCCTCATCTGGTTGACCTTTTGCGTCAGGTTGTCCATCGCTCCTCCGGAAGGTGGACCTGAGGCTTGATTGGCTGATCCGAGCTTCGCCATGGCTGCCGCAACGGCTGCAGTGGCGGCTTGCGTTGCATCGGCAATGGACTGTGGCTGGCTCGCGGGGGCGGTGGTCGGAGTTGACTGAGGCGGTTTCTGAGCGGGCTTGCCGGCCGGAAGGGGGAGGGCAACGCGGTTGATTGGCTTTGATGTCGCCTTCGACTGTGCTGATGGCTGCGTGGAGGTAGGAGGGGTTGAAGCGGCAGGAGCGGCTGGTTTCGTGTCGTTTGGAAGTGGAGGAGCAGCCTTTGGAGCGGGTTGCGAGGCTGGGGGAGGGGCTGGTGTTGGGCCATTACTTCCGGTCGGCTGCGGTGTACCAGACTTGCTGCTGGCAAGAGGTTGTTGCTGTGCCGAGGGTTGCTGATTCATTGGCTGCCCGTGAGGACCAGGAGGCATCGGTTGGTTTGGTGGGAACTGCTGAGGCGGTCGCTGGAAGCCTTGGCCGGGAGGTGGGCCGTAGTAGCCCGGTGGGGGACCACCCGGTGGGGGACCATGGCCCATGCCATAGCCCGGAACCGCGCCAGGAGTTCCTGGAAAGCCATGAGCCCCGCCTGGGCCCTGGAATCGAGGTGGATTGGGAAAGGAGTTTGGCGGTGGAGGCCCCGGATAGCCAAAGGGAGGAGGTTGCTGAGGGTAAGGGTGTTGTTGTCCGCCAAACTGAGGGGGAGGTGGTGGCTGTTGTGATTGAGAACCCGGTCGCGCGGACTGCAGAGAGAGGGGTCAGCTCAGAACGATGACTCGACGCTTTGAGTGAGGTGTAGAAAGGCCGCGATGTGTTCAGAAGGAAGGCAACATGGTATTATCTGCATTGCTTGCTCGCCTCAGAAGGACTGAAGTGTATTATCCAAGGGGTTCATCATTGTGTGGTGGCGGACGGGTTGTGATTGTTACGCGCAATATACTCACCGCAAGAATGGCAGGGTCATCGGGCATTTTCGGCGGCGCCTGGTTCTCTTTCGCCGACGGAGGTGCGACGATTGTGAGCTCTTTCACATCGCTCCCGCGAAAGACGATGTATTCGTAGACCTGATCCGAGCCCGGGATCTCTTCGGCGGGATTGCCTTTCCTGCCTTCGGTGCCATATGAAGTGACGCTTTCGAGGGCAACGGTGTGGGTGTCGCTGTTGATCTCGTGCAGGGTGCCGATGTATTTGATATCTGACTTGGAGATGAGGGAAATGCGGCTGCCAATGTATTCCGACTGGTGAATGGTCAGTGTGGATGCTCGTGAGGCTGGGGATTGTTTGGCTTACCATCGTGACGGAGGAGGGGTGGGAGAGAAGAGGGAAGTCGATGCGATTGCGACGGAGGAAGAAGGGATGAGAAGGAGATAAGAGGGAGACGAAGGAGGAAGAGCGCGAGGAGGGGTGAAGTGAGGGGAATTGGAGAGATGGAGTGCTTGATTGCGGCCGTGAACTTTTCGTGAAAGCGCGAGGTGGACGCCAAGCAACTCAACTCTGAGGGTCAAAACGTGTGACTGGGGGTCAGAAGTCGTGAACCATTGGAACATGACATCCTCCACCGGCTCATCATTCCATCTGCTTCATACACAGATCAGGGCAGACTTTGAATATCCTGTGCGTCGCCGAGGAGATTCAAATCCAGCCAAGGCATGTAAAAGGCATAATGTCTACCCTTCCGGATCAGGAGGAGCTCGAGAAGACGTACATCTTTCATCAACTCGACGAATATCCGTGGGCCGAAGACGAGGAGTTCCAGGGAGGTTTGCGGGCGATTTTGGGATCAGTGGAGGATCCCGCGAGCACCGAACATCTCACTCTACGCGCCAAATGCTACTACTTTGCCCGGAAAGCTGGAACGTCTGTAGACTTTGAAGGCTACAAGCAATGGGTCGAGGATCTTCGCACAGGCACGGCCGCTGCGAACGGACCGGCGAACACCCCTGGCACAATGCTTGGTGGTGCGTGGAGACAAGGCAGCAACGTCGGCAGTGCGGAAGAGGGCTCCCTGGGAAGTTTGGGCGAAGCGCCCAAGCCGGCTTCTTTTGCTGAGATTTGCGAAATGATTGCTGCGAATAAACCTATCCCTGGAATCAAAGATATCCCGGACACCGTCTTGGAAGGTCAAGCAACGGAAAGCCAGGCGACGAGGAGGAAGAAGCCGTGGGAAAAGCAGTTACCCGATGAGCCAGCAGGAGCCCCGAGTTGGTTGTCTTCAGCTTCCGGCAATCACGGCTCTCTCACGACAGACTCTGATGCGGAGAGGGCTGTGGAGGCCCGTGCAAGCAAAGCCACGGAGCAGCCATGACTCTTCACGTTTCGTGGTTGTGTCAGCCATTGCACCGAATTGAGGCAACAATGGGATGTAGCATCCCCGTTCGCACGCTTCTACGATGACTTTGGATCCAGCCCTGGCAGAATGCCAGAATGGAATTGGGGCCAAGCACAAGCATGTCACTGAAGGGCGCGCGGACTGGAGTCACGGCAAGAGTCCGATCGCCGAGGCACTGATCCTCAGCCTTGTCTTCCCGACGAGAGTCGCAGAAGTTATCCGTGGTGTCGGCAAATCATGCGGTGGGCACGGTGGAATGTCTACGGGTAGGCGTTTTAGAATCGTGCTTAGGGTGCCGATACTTCTGATCCATGCCGATGGAGAGAGGCATCGCTTGGTCAAAACAATTGATGTACATACTACGCCGGATCTGACAATGCAAACCTCACATTTTATAGTCTGATGATGCATCAGATTTCGGAACTTGACAAATCACCATGGGAAAATTCATACTTTCGAGTCGTGACTATGCTGATATGAGTCTGAACATACGATGAATGCTGTTGCCTGGACCTGACTCCCCTGCGGATGCGTTACGCTTCAGCCTGATAAATACACCTCAGCCTGACTCTATCCCGAACTGCGTACATTTTTGCAGCAGTTCAACGGCTTGACCAACATGTCTAAAGAGATCACCGTCGCAGACTTTTTCAAGAATGTAGAGCAGGCCGAATACCCGCTCTATCCCCAGCAGCGGCTGCCTCTGAAGACCTTGCTGGAAGACCACTCCGCACCATTGCAACCTCTCGCCGCCCAAATCGCACAACCCATCCTCGATGCCAACGAGAAACGCAGAGAGAATCTCGATTACAATTTTCACTACGGCAGGCTCTGGCGGGTGATATCGCATGCGATCCAGCAGATGACCTCGCAAATTGACCGCATCGTTGATGTTGTGGTCGCCATCTCTCAGACGCCAGATCCCACTGACTACCTGGCTTTCATGCAAGACATCAACGAAGAGTGGAATGAGTTTGCGATGGGGTGTGAGTCGGGGCGGCTTGCGTCAAGAACGTGAGTTGCATGCTGACGAAACACAGTCGATATGCCACAACCAGATGATCCAAATCGTGGAAGGGTGCGACAAGCGTGGATCAACATGAACGCTTTCAATGCAAGGCTCTCCACAAAGGGCATCGAACGTCTGAACTACCGCTTGCGGTCCGGCCACGTCTTCCGCATCGCCTTGGAAGAGACGCCTTGGGAGCAGTATCACATCCCGGAGATAGACGAGGAAATCGAGAGCGACCCAGAAGACGAGGACAATGTTGCTTTGCGCGACGAGTTGCTTAACAAGCGAGACATTCGGCGACTCAACTATTGGGCGCCGGCTGCGGCGGCTTGGATCAAGTACGACGGCAAGGGGATTCATGAAATGGATGAGCCAATGATTGGTGACGATTACGACAACTTTGAATACACAAACTGGAAGGGCAAAGGCTTCTCCAAAGAGCGATTTCACTACTGGAGAGAGCGTCTTGAGTGGGTGTCCAAGGTCACTGCCCTCGATCATGACACCAGGAGGCGAGCTGCGGAGGCTGTCGAGCTCATGAAGCAGATTGAAGGAGGAAGCTGAGGTCCACATTGGTTCGTTGGGGATTCCGAGCTCTTGAATTGTAGCCTCAAGAGCTAAAGTTTGTCGTGCTATTCGACCGGCTGATGGTGTTTCAACTTGGCCCCCGGTAGCCACATTCTCGTATCTGCGGGGCCAAGACAAAGCGAGATGTGACTTTGTGGAGTGCTCTGGATCTTTGGCGTCGGGACGTGGTGTCGATACGAGGCGGACTGCCATAGCCAGAATGACTCATGCATTGCGCATAACCGGTTGTGCACTCTCCGGGACTCCAGGCGCGGCTAAAGGCTGTAAATGCCATGGAGTTGGTAGAGGCTGTGCGGGTTTTTCAGGTAGAGTGCACGGCTACGCTTGGTGTTCATCGGCCAAAGAGTCCCAGAAATCGCCCTCCAGCACCTCCTTCGCCCCGTCTCGCAGCTTCGGTCTGAATCCACTTGATCAAGAAGTCCTTGTTCTTCAGATCCTCCAATCGTGCCACCTTTGTTTCTAATTGCGGTTCCTGGCGGTCGAATGCAAGGAGTGTCGGGATGGAATTGATGCCATATCTCATCCCAATCCCCGCCAGGCCTCCCAAATCAGGGCTGTCCATCTCCACCTCCACAAAGGAGATCCCGCCCTCCGCCTCGCCAATCTTGTCTTTCTCAATCAGATCTTGCACCAGCGGCGACACGACTTTGCATGATTGGCACCACGTGGCCATCCACAAGGTAATGAGAGGCACGCGACTGCTGGCCGACATGAGCGTCAATGTCTGCAGCTCGTCCTCCCGCCGGATTCGGTTCGGGTAGACGCGATTCTTCGCGAGGGCTGATGCAGTCGTTGAGAAGTGTTTCTGCGAGAGCCTTCGTAGAGGAGCGCTCCGAAGAGCGAGCCTCAGAGGTGTGTGGTGCATGGTGTGATGTACGACAACAGGGAAAAGTGGGACCGTGAGTGAGGTTAGGCGATGAACTGTAGGAACTTGGTCTTGAAACTGGGAGGAGTGGACCTTCCACTTACGGCTAGCTTCAACGACTCCAAATGCGCTCGAGTTTGCAACCTCACTTCATCTTTGATCTACGCTCGAGCAACTTTTATCGTTGTCCAACGATCTCGTCACGCCTTTGCATGCCGAATGCTCTTCAACCTCGCATCCTCTGCTGGAAGCGCTCACCATAGGCACACTGAGTCGCGCAATTGTCCTTCAACCCACAGATACACGCAGTGCTCACAGCAGTTACCAGCAGGCCAAGCCGGAGTATCACTCCACAGTAGTGCCGTTCCTCACAATCCATCCTTGAGACCATCCTCACCCGCTGGCGAAGCTTGCTTTGAGTTCTCAATCAATTTCGGCCATGTGTCCTCCAAATGCCACCAATCATCCTCCATCATCTCCCGATTCACCTCTCCTTTCTGCGCGAGCGAGAGCGCCAAGTTCACATGATCCAGCATCTGCGAAAGCTTGACCAGACACCAGGCCCTGGTCTGCTTAGCGAAGTCTGGATACAATGCCCGAGACTTCAGCTCCTCAAGATCCTCTTCAAGACTGGTCTCGTGAATCTTGATATCGCTAATGTTTCGCAAGGAGAAGAGCAGTTTGATTCCCGGCAACACCATGGGATTGGCGCTTCTGATGCTATGTTCCACCCAGAGATATCTCCCGCTGATGCGCTTGCTCAATTCATCCTTCAGGACTATGTGCAGTCGGCGCAAGCCCGTCAGCTGTCTGACGATCGGGAGTGTGAGGTCGACCAAATTGATGCCTCCGCACTTGACGTTGTAGTAGTGGAGCGTGATGTCGCGAACAACGCGCTGGCGTTGTTGTCCCAGGGATAGGAAGAACGCGTGCAGCTGGGTGGGGTAGTAGAATTCGAACGAGTTGCGGTCGTAGAAGATACCCATGGCTTCATCGTGGATCTGCCGGTTGACCGCGAGGATGCTGAGTGCCGATTCGGTGGGTTTGACAGGGCGTTTCTTGGACACGTTGCACTTGGGTAGGGAGCTCGGAGCTTTATTAGACGGATGGATGGGTCCATCGATCTCGAGGAGGAAGGAATATACGCGATTGCGCAGCTCGGGTGGGAGGGCGAGGAAGGAGAGTGGCTCGTCACGGTCCCTTTACAGCCAGTCAGTAATAGAGTCAACACACTGACATCTTTCGCAGGCGACACTCACTTTGCAAGCTGGCTATCACCCAGCGCGCCCATCAGCCTTGGCCGAACATACGTCTCGAGGAAGCCGCCTGGTATTGGACCACCATGCTCAGCACCATCGTAGCCCTTCCTCTTGACAAACTGCACCATAGGAACACCGGAGATGGTGAGCAGGGCCGACATCCCAGGGGCACGGGAGATTGCGAGCATGTGTTGCGGTGAAAGCTCATCGAGAGACCAGGTCCGCTTCGGGTATCGTGCGCGCATCGCGTCGTTCACCATATCTTTCTCATCCACGCCGATGTAGAGCTCTTCCAAGCCCTTCATTCGTGAGATGCGAAGGAACCAGTCGTACGCATTGTCGCATGGCCAGTGACAGGTAACTTTACGAATCAATTTCAAGTGCCGAGGCGAGGTCATATTTGTCAGGCACTGCGGGTTCTCTCGGCCGAACTGGTTGTGTGGGTGGGCGACGCCGAATTCAAAATGGTTCTCACCATAGTAGATCGGAGCGGCTTCTCTATCGGCCTGGCGGGAGATGTGGCAGATGGGAGGCATGGCTGAATCCCACCATCCACAATTGAGGTCTTCATGAACCTGTGTCGGGCCAATCTTGTGAGGGTGGACGAGATGCAAGCGGTATATCTTTTCGCGTACGGACAGTGGCAAGTCCCAGAAGCCGACCGCCATCTCGGTGTGCTGCTCCGTAAGGCTGCGGGTGATGTTGAGGTGGATGTGGTTGGTGTGTGGCGAGGAAAGCGGAGACTTTGGGAGGTTGTCGAAGTTGACGTGCAGCGACGGTTTGTGGAAGGCACGCGTCTGCCTGGCGTCTCGCGTGGCAAACTCTAAGACTGCTTCACGTGCTTTCATGTGTGAATGAGGTACATGCGTTTATGTCTCTAATTAGTCGTGCATGATAATCGACAAGAGTCTTTGCTCGTTCCTGCACATCACTCAGGGCTCCAGAAGCCCCTTTTTCAAGATTTCGGGCGGTGCCGGCGCAGTCACATACACGATGCTCTCTCGCGTCTGTTCGAAGTGTACCGTTCCGTATCTCAACAACTCGGCAAACGTGCCAGGCTGGCAGTCCATGCCAGGGTTCTCATCCCAGAGTGCACCGAGGTGGATTGAATTGGTCAGGTCCTTCCCATGCGTGACCTTTTGCATGCTGGATCTGGTGAGCAATCGCCACACCAAATCATACGCTTCCTTGTACTCCGGAGATTCCGGATCCGAATCTAGACGCAAAGACAGCAGATCGAACATCTTCTCTCCCGATCCAGCGAAACCCACCGTGGCCTCACCTCCCCAATTCTCTTGGAGAACGTTCCAGACGAGGATATTGTTTTTCCAATATTCCGGACCGTCGAAGCCATCATTGGGATCTTCCAGCATGCACACACGCTGCCAGCAGATTACCTGGGTGATGTATTGGTACACGTCTTGCGCCGACACCTTGAAGTCCCAGTGAAAGTCGCTTGCATGAGAGTCATCAAACGACGCGTTCTGTGCGAAGGCGAGCAAAGGATCCGCACCCAGCCCTTGGAAGTTGGTTCGGTCTTTCCACAGATCTGCACGGGGAGACTCAGTTGGCAAGTTACCCACAGTCTTGTGCAAACAGTGTCATGCGTACGAGTAAAGAGCTTGTGCCTTTAGGTGTGTTAGCCATTGGACGTCGCGAAGCGGTTGGCCGTAGTACATCCTCTTACCATCTTTCAATGAAGGGATCGCCTTTTCGACTCGCCACAAAATGGTTCGCCATCACGAGTCCGTACATCTACCATCGAATCAATGATCTGTTGCGCAAGGCTCGATATCTGCAGCGGTACCAATGGAGTCGACGCCTGGAAGGGAGAAGCAGGGTCCCCTAGCTGCTTCCAGCAGATCCGATCCAGATGCCGGATCAAGATGCAACCTACGTCCATGAACACCCCGCCGTGATGTAGTAGGCAGGCGCCTCGGAGCAGATCTGCACTGTGCGGGCCGGAGCTACGCAGGGGAAGATCAGCAAAACCGTGCGTGCACAGCGAAGCAGGCATGCATACTACAATCCAGCCATCGTTCCCTTCACCATGGCTTCGTTCAGACTGTCGGCTGGCACATAATGCAGCATGTAATTTGCAGACGTTGGCACCGCATCAAGCACCCGCACCGTCCAGGATCGATCGAGGATTCGTATCCAGTCGACAACGTTGCGTTGGCACCACTTCGGCATGGCCGAGATGCCCGAATGCCAAAATGCCCAAACATTCTTCTCGGACGTTACCGGTCGATACCGGAACAATGAGTAGAGGATCTCATCGGATCCGCGATCGTCGCTTGCTTCTCGGAATCGGAGTTGATCAGCAAATTCTTGGGGAATGGCAAATTGGCGGTTCGTCATGGTTGTCGACAAGGAGCAGAAGTCAAGGCGGAATGCAGTAGACGACTGGACGAGAAAACGGATTATATATGCACTCTAGAGCTAACCCGCCTCCCGTCAGCAGAACCCCAAGGAACCACTAAATCCGCTTTTAAGTAAGGCTGATGGCAAGAAGGTAAGCAAAGCCCGCCGATCCTGCACGCTAGCCAAGAACAACTGTAAGCAGTTTCATTGGGGCTGACCCGAATCCAATCACGTAACCTGAAGCTTGTAAACCATGTCTGTTTCGCCAGGAGAAGGCCACATTCGCTTCCCGATGCTGGGGTCGCTCGGCGTGAATTGTTTGAGGGAAAGGCCGTGAAGAGGAGTGGCATCGATGGAGTGCAACTCCTGACATTGGTGATATTCAGGCATAAGCGTTGGAGGCGTCGTTCATGCACTGGGGGAGCATATGAATATCAGGCGAATTTCGTAGTTCAAGTCGCCTCCGGGAGGTATATTGCGACTGGCATGGCTTGTGTATTGCGCCACTGCGATGCCAAAGCAGTGAGTCCGTGAAGCGTTCCGGCAGTCAAGTCGTTCATCGAACTTTCTGACCTCCTCGACTCTTGACGGCAAATGGGCTCTGCTCCGCTGCGCTCATGGGATCCAAGGAGAATAGAGTCGTCAGGTATAGGCCAATAAATCTCACTGCCGCGTACTGTGAGAAAGCCGCCGGGGAAGACAGCAGAGCACCAAAATCTATGCCGGGAGCGTTTGTCCTCTTGCTTGCATTCGCACCTCCCTCGCCCGATCCCAGAGTCTTTCCTGCGCCGGAGAAGGAAGGCGATGCCTTGGCCGGGCTTTTGGCGGCATTGGCTGCGGCGGAGAGGATGGCTGTGCGGAGGGCGGTGGGATTGGCGCCACGAATGGTCTCGACGACGGTGTTGCCTTTGAGGATGAGGAAGGTAGGCATACTAAGGGCCAAGATCAGCAGTGCTTCACGGGGGGAGTCGATGGGCAGAGCTTACGCGGAGATGCCGTAGAAGCTGGCCACCTCTCTCTGGCTATCCACGTCGACTTTGCAGAAGGTGAGCCGACCTGGCTTGGATTCGGCAGTGGCGAGCTGCTCGAAGATGGGGCTGATCTGCTTGCACGGCCCGCACCAGTCGGCGTAGAAGTCCACGACTACATACGAAGAGGAGGCGAGGACTAGATGGAGGGGATTGTCAGCGGCGGCCGATGAGGATCCAAAGACGATCGACCCACTTGATTTGAGATGAGATGAGGAGGTAATTGGAACTGTTTTCGAAGCCATCGTTGCTGGGAATGGGGGTGTTGCGCCGTGGGTGTTGTGTGAATACGAAGTCAACCTCCACGTTGAGTATCGTATACTCCCGGCTTCTCTAACCCTAATTCCAACCCTAGCTGATGCTTCTCCTCTTCCCCGAGCCTGAATCCACCGCCAGCTTTGCCCTTCACGATCACTTCCTCACCAAGATGCGCATTCTCACGGGCGAAGATGTGTCTGGACTACTGCGTAGCTTGTCATCAAATGATGCTCGAGAACTACTAAACTCCTTCTCCCAAGGATTGGCAGACTACTCCAAGGCAAAGGGCTCGAGCAACGCCAACATCATTCAACCCGCGCGAGTCGTCTTTCAAAATGCCGGTCAAAACACCGTGCTGACCATGCCAGTGTCTGATGGCGATACGGTAGTAAAGGTGGCCACCGTACCGCACAAAGGCGACATTGCTGGTGCAATTACCGTCTACAACTCTGTTGGCGAACTGCAGGGCGTTTTGAATGCCGCCGAAATTACAGCGTTCAGGACGGCGCTGGCGAGCATGACGATTCTCACTCGTTGGCCTGCCCCATCACATCCCAGTGTATGTGTTTTTGGCTCTGGCAAGCAAGCCGAGTGGCACCTTCGTCTGGCCTTGCTCCTCATTCCCGGCATTACGAAAGTCATCATCTTCAACCGTGGTGCAAAGCGATTGAAGGATCTGGAAAGCGCTGTACTCTCTGGACTGAGAGATGTCCATTCTAGCGTGGAGTTTGAGACTGTGGCCAGCGAGGGCAACTCTTCTTATTCGAGCACATTAAGAGAGCGGTTGGCAAAGGCAGACATCATATGCTGCTGCACACCGTCCACCGAGCCTCTCTTCACCAACGGCGAGCTGCAGAGTACTTCAAAGTCCCGCTTCATGTCATTGATCGGATCCTACAAGCCGAGCATGCATGAGATCGATGCGGACACCCTCAGAGCCGCTCGAGAATCCGGGAAGATCTACGTTGATACCGAAGAAGGCTGCTTAGAAGAAGCTGGGGAGCTCATATCCGCCGGCTTTGGTCCCGATGATCTGATTGAAGTCGGACAGCTGTTTGCGCAAACGGGGCCGGCTGGATCGGAGGTTGACGGTGAGCGGAGCCTGACCATCTTCAAGTGCGTAGGCTTTGGCTTTATGGATCTTCTCGTCTCAAAGTCGCTCTTGAGCATGGCGGAAGAAGCCAGCAAGGGCAATGTTGTGGACGACTTCTAGAAACTGGGAAACGCTCAATCTCGCGCATCGTCCCTCGGCGACACGACAATGCTGCATTCCAGCCGTATCTGCTATCGCCGTTATCTCCGATTGTCTACGTACTAGATCTGCGCTTGGGTCCAGACGTTGTGGAATCTCCCAGCCGTACCGGTATATCTACTTCTCCATTACCACTCTTCTCGCTCTCGTTCATACTTTCGCGAGTCCTGCTATCACCATGTCCTCCAATTCGCCACAGCTAGCCAAAAGCATGCGTGCCACCACCGAGGGCTTCCTGTACGCATGGAATGGCGACTGGACGAGTGAAACTAGACGTACGTCCCTTTCTTACCGGGCTCCGCAGTGCCAACATATCATGCGGCCGGCTACCGTAGCGACGCCACCACGCAGCAATGAAGAATGGGGCGAATACTTTACGCACATTGAGGGTAGAATCTTCGATGGTAAAGTATGGTCCATCTGTATCCACGGCTTCGTCCGACTTTCCTCTACTCTTGAGACTGATCGCACTTCACTCCCCAGATGGTCATCCTTGACTACTTTGCCGACCTCTCGAGCCGCCGCGCCGTGGCGCACTCGACTTTGACGGCAACAGCAAAGGGAGTCGGGGATTGGAGCAACGAGTACATGTGGCTGTTGGACTTTGACGAGACAGGCGAGAAGATTACGACCATCAAAGAGATGCTCGACAGTGCGGCCACGCAGAACATCAGAGCCGCCTTGAAAGCTGCGGACGCGAAGTGAGGGTTACTGCCCAGAATGAAGGCCGGCCAGAAGCGGAAAGGACATCGTTGATGCGTGTGAAACGCAAGCGGATGATGACTTCTTTGACTGTCTTTCGTTGTCTGTATCAGAGCTTCTCATCAGACACTTCTTCCTGTCTCTTGAGCTCCACCGCCTCTTTCAATGCGCCCTTTTCGTGTGACGCAATCTCGTCTTCGATGATACTGTCCTGCCTGTGATCTCGCAGCTCGCCCTGGTACGACTTGAATTTTCTTGCTGGAACGCCCTTGTGGAAGAGATACTCGATCGTCTCCAGGCTCTTGCCGCTGCAGTCCGGTACGCAGAAGAAGACGAAGGTGATGGCAATCACGCATATCCCCGCGTAGATGTACCCCAGCTGTAGGCCAATGTCGTCGATTTCGTAAGGCAGCGTGAAACCGACGACAAAATTTGACACCACCCGAGCCATGCCTGCAGTTCTGACAGACATGTCGCGCAGGCGCAGGGAGACCACCTCGGTCATGACCACGTTGGTCAAGGGAGCAAAGCCCAGACTGAATCCGAAGGAAAGCAAGACCAGGAAGAAGATGGCTGCGGAGGCGAGCGATTTGATCTTGGTGTAGTCGTACCCTCCGATTACTCCGAGGCCAATTTCGGCGCAGATCATGGTCGTAATACTTGCCAGGATGAATGGTCTAGACTGTTGATCAGCTATGGCATGCGATGGCATGGGGGATTTCTACCTTCTTCCAACACTGTCGCTGTAAACCATGACAAAGAATGTGGTGATGATCCCGACGACCGCAAAAACCACGGTGCTGAGACGGGGTGAGTGGAGATTTTGTAGCGGAATGAGGGTAGACTCACATGATAAAGGGATCGATACCCCCAATATCTTTGACTACGAGGGCGCCGAATTTGGCGGTGATTTGCTGCCCGCTGAACTCCTGGAAGACTGGGAAGGTCAGTGTGGAACTGGACAAAACCATGGTGTACACGTACAGTTCATGCCCGTGGCGATGAGTGTTCTCCGAATGTTCTCCTTGTAGAAGATTTCTTTGAAGCGCCCCTGCTCCGGCTCTTCACGTAGGGCGGTCTCGATCGACAAGAGTTCTGCTGCAATCTCCTCTTCCGTGCGCTTGCCTTGGCGAAGTAGGCGAAGGCTGTGATAGGCTTCGTCACGTCTTTTGTTTACGAGGAGCCATCGGGGTGACTGGGAGAGTGTCAGCGCAGTGCCCTGTTACGATTGCTGAAGTCAACTCACCTCGGGTACCCAGTACAGACCCGCGATGACAATGGACGGCACTACATAAAAGAGGCCAAAGGGGATTCGCCAGCTGCTGTTGTTGGGGATTCTCGAAGTACCCAAGCAGATGAGGTTCATGATCAGTCCGCCGATGCCTTGGGAAAAGTTATAGGTGCAGACGACGCTGGACCCAAGGATTAGCGAGGCTGCAGGAGGGCACATCAAATATCTCCATGGCATCGACTTACAGGCCGCGAACTTCAGTGGGGACTGCTTCTGCCTGGTAGACGGAGAGCACGGCCAGCTCCATGCCCAGATAGCCGTAGAACAGGATGCGACCGGCGAGAAGCTGCCATTTGCTAAAGGAGCTGACGATGACCGTGGCGCAAATGATGGACCAGATTGAGAGAGCGAGCATGCCGGCTCGTCGACCCCATTTCGCACTGATTGAGCTGCCGGCGACGAGTCCTGGGATGTCTTTAGAACTGCGCTTGCTCACGTGAGAAGCAAGCCATACCAACGCCAAAACCGATCCAGATCACGGAGGAATAAAGGGAAAGCCAGTATGCCTGCAGCGCGTACTGAAACTTCTTCGTCTTTGCATCGTATTTGTACACGCCGAATTGTTTCTCGAACGGATTCATGGCCTGTGCCGCGCTGAAGCCTGTGCCGTGTCAGCTGTCGTCTTTCAACATGCGCCGGCGTGGTTTCATTACCCTGGTTGTCGAACCTGCGACAGCATCCGTCAGCGTGTGTCTTTCCGAGCATTGTGCATTGTCAGAGCCTCTTACCCATAATTGGCGGTGCTGAGAGCAACCAGGCTGACGCTGAACGCCAGACGGGCGTTGAAGTGCGCCGTGAACAGGCGTAAGATGGAGGCCATCGTGGGCGGTGGTGGGGGGAGGAGTTGTGCGAGATCGCCGCCGACATCCTTGACTATATGTAGACATCCTGAATGCAGCACATCCCGCGCATGGCATTGGACCGGCTTCCACGCCTGATGGCGTGCTTTTAGGTCTCAGGCCGGAGTGACGATCTTTGCCTCGCCACGTCCTCCACCTTCCGCAGCCCTCCCCCGAATCCAACCCGACACGTGCCGATTGCCGCTCCTTTGCGGGGGGAACTGCTATCTAAAGCACGTGGACTTGCGCGTGCATGTCATTCAGGATCGGATGGCGAAATCTTCGTCAGCGTCGCACCTCTATGTTGCAGTGGGGATGTTTACACATCGTGAACAGTGTAATGCGGTCTTGACTCCCGCCAGGTCTTTCGTGAGATATACAGCCCGAATGCCAGGCATGAATACGTCTATGTACAGCCTTTGTAAATGCGAAACTTTCCAACCCGCCTCATCACTTATGCTAGACCCATCCAACGCCATGCTAAACAGACAACAGCCCTACAAAGCAAAGATGGCGGCACCAGCGGCCCCCAATAAAGCCAAGTTGTAGCCCACCGGAGCTGTGGGTGCTGCGCCGTGTGAAGAGGCGGCGGTACTGGAAAAGCCGACATTGACGGCTCCGCTCGCTTGCACCACCGAAGTCACGGCGTTGCTCACCGAGGTCGCGCTTGGGATCGAGTTGCCAGTGATTTCGAGGACGTTGCTGGACTTGCCGCTGAAGTCGGTCTGCGCAATGGAGATTTCATTGCTGGAGATGTCGTAGACGACGTACGCCGAGCGAAGGAACGTATCACCAAGCACCGGTGTGCTGTCTCCCGCCAGACCGATGCCCAGGATACACTGGTTTTGGCCGACCTCGAGGATAATCTCCGACAGAGCGACAGAAATGGTGGGGGAGCTGAAAGTGAAGTCGATGGTGTCGTCGGAGTTGGCAACGTTGCAGTCGACAACCGCTGCGCCGGTCCGGGAATTGTACTGGGCGCCGACTTGGTCAAAGATCTTCTGGGCGACCTGATCGGGTAGATACATCAGACTGCTGCCAGAATCGAGGATGGCACCGACGTTGAGGTTGGTAGCGATGGACCCTTGGTTCCCGCCATAGCCAACTTCGGTGAGAGCGATGATAAAATCGGCATAGACCACGCCGTCGGTCTTGACGATTGGCAAGGTCTCCAGCTTGCCGGTGTACCTGGCGGTGTCGACTCCGCCGAAGAGGATGGATCCGGTGGAGGACTCGAGGTCGTCTAGCCACAAGCTGTAGGCGTTTGTCTTGATGTAGCCTTGGTTCACGAGGCTTACGGGGACGTTGGCGTACGGCTTGAATCCGTAAGAGACGGCGGCCTCGTTCGAGGGGTATCCGATGCCGATAAGGCCTTCTTGGGAACTCGATTGATAACCGATACCAAAGACCTGCTCCTTCAGCGTGACGCCCGAGAATTGGACGGTATCTTCGACATAGTCGCCCACGGCGCCCGAGCCATCGACATAGGTGATGTTGAAGTCACTGTTGAGGTATTTGTAGGTGGAGGAGTCGTTTGCGTTGTACGTGCCGCCGAGACAGGTGTTGGCGGAGGACTCGCAGTAGGCGCTGTTGGCAACATTGGTCCAGAGATCACTGCTGCCGGTGTCGATGTGGAGTTTCATGGCTTGCGCGGGGGTGCCAATGGAGACGTCCATGAAGTAGAGTGTCTCTTCATTGGCAAGGCTGACCTGGACGGTGTCGGATCTTCGCATCCTGCGAGCGCGATCGTGCGCGATGGGGTTCTCGACATGGCGTCTCTGGATCTTGTGGTGGACTACCGAGGGCGGGACTCCGTCTCGTCTTTGGAGGAGGTTGATGGCGTCGGCGCTTGCGAGGAGGTAGGATGCGAGAGCGAGGGTGGCGGAGGAGGTGCGCATGTTGGCGGAGGGTCCAAGAAGGGCGGCGTGGGTAGGTATGGGCGGAGGAGGGAGGAGGGAGGGAGGGAGGTGGCGGCAGGGTGAAGTTTGCGTTTTGTATCGTACCGCTCCACCGTGCATGACGCGGCTGCATGGCGTGGGCCATCCGCTTTCCGAAGAATCGTGGCTGAGTAAGGTTTGGGTGTGGCGGAGATGTCACCCAGCCGCCGCCATTTCCCTCCGATTCCCTCGAAATAGCTTGCGAAGGATGCGCGACATTTGACGTTTCGGGGGTGAATTGGGGGGTGTTGGGCAGTGTATTGGATACTACATGCTACTTCTTCAAAGACGACAGACTCGTTGTGTGATGCGACAGTCTTGCATGATCCACCAAAGTCCATTCCAAGCATATGCCGGCTGACGCGGCAAGCGCATTGATGGAGCGTGACGAATTGAGAGTCGCGTCCCGTTACTCGTGAGCATTTGCTGGCGCAGTGCTTGAGTGGCCCTCGTGCCAAAGCATTGCCAAGTGGTGGCAACAGGCGAAGGACTTTGGTGAAGATCATATCCGTGGAATGCGTGTAAAGGGTATGCTCGACATTACTCAATGTTACAGGGCCAGATTATAGGTGTAGTCGTCTTCCATGTTCTGGCTCACCCAGAGAACGACGCAGCTGCAAGACACGTGAGCATTGGTCGCGGCGCTTGAAGCAGCAATAGGCGTAAGAGAGACATACCTCAGCATGATGAGAGCATTCGCAACGATATTCGCCACTCCGAACCACAGTTCCGGCCACAGAGCATCGGTGACGACGTACTTGAGCACGCACACGGTCACGCTGCCCGCCAGGCCACCCGCCATGCCTGCAAAGCCCATGAACAATATCACCCGCGCCTTCCACGCCACCCCATCGCCGCTGTAGCTGAAGTTGTCCCCGCTCAGCCGAGTCTTGTCAATGCTATTGATGATGAGCATGCCAAAGGTGGAGAAGATGCCGGGGATCCAGTCGACAAAGTTGACGTGGAAGTGCGATCCGTTGAGGTGCGATTTGGAGAAGGTGGCGGCGTCGATGAAGGTGAAGAGGGCGAGGGAGAACTGGGTTGAGCGCGGTGGTTAGCATGGGAAGCATGGTCTTTATGCGCTCGTCGACGTACCAGTGCTCCTGCGGCATGCACCCCGGCCGTTCGGGTGTAGGCGCTGTTCAACCATTGCGGCTTCGGAAAGCGGAAGATACGATGATCGGAGAGTCCGTTGGCCATTTCTTCGCCCTTAGATTAGCCGTGGAGGAAGTCTGCAGCGGTGTGGTTGTGGAGGATTACTGAGACGGAGAGCTTCAAGGTTGCAGTGGCTGGGTAGGCGGCAGAGGGAGCACGCGAGTCATGCACGCGTTAGGGTTGGGAAATTTCAAGATCGCCTCGCTACATTTCTTCCATCCATCGTCGTCTTTGGAGAATAATCTCCAAACAATGGCCCTCAAACCCAAGAGCGGTGGCTCCAAGCCCTCCATCAAGCGCTCGACGAAACCAGCTGGCTCGAGTTCAGCGCCCAAGGCGAAAAAGAAGGGCCCACCCAGACCGCCTCCGACGCAGCACAAGCCAAAACCTACTCTCGCAAACACCAAGAAGAAGCCGCCGCATCTTCGATACACGGAAAAGGAGCTGCGCCTGCCTCAGCTCAACGGCATACGGCCAGCTGGTGTGCAGAAGTTGCCCAACAAGAAGAAAGGCAAGCACTTTGTGGACGACGGGGATGGCATGCGCACCATTCTCGCCCTGGTCATGGCGGAGAAGGAGGGGAATATCGAAAGCAAGATGATGCGTGCACGACAGTTGGAGGAGATTCGAGAAGCCAAGAGGGTGGAAGCGGAGAAGCGGGTGGAGGGGAAGAGAGCCAGCTTGGAGGAGAAGAAGAGCGAGGTGAAGCGGCAGAAGCGTGGTGGATCAGGGCGGGCGGAGGCGGAGACTGCTCAGACTTCTTCTGCCATGCCTCTGAAGAAGAGGAAGAAAGTCAGTTTTGGGTGAGGTTGGCATGCTGGTCTACGCTTTCATACGATCCCAAGGAATGCCGCACGATGTCTTTTACCACGCGCTGCCCGGCACATGCAGCTTCCTCCGCGTTGGTTGGAATACAAACGGGCTTCGGTGCTCTCCTTGTGCATCCTTGTCCAAAGACTGGGGTGCTTCGGTCTTGGAGAAGTCGATATCCTTGGCCATGGCGTTGAGGAAGTTGACGACCTGTATCACTTTCAGCTGTCGTCTATGGGAATTGCGATGCGCTCAGTGTACTCACCGGTCTGGTATGCCATCGCCCACCACCCCATTCAAACCAACTCAGGTGGCCACCACCGTTGGTTGCGCAAAGCACGACGTATGGATTCTGCCGGATTTCCGAGTATGGTACCGCCTCATCGGAGGCAATGGGATCGTCCGTGGCATGCAGACAGAGGGTGGGAATGCGGACGGCCAGCACCGTGTCGGCTGAGCTGGCGTCTTTGTAGTAGCTGTCTTCCGTTGGATAGCCCCATGTCTTACACTGCACCTCCCGATCGAATTCGTGCAGATACTTGACCTTTTGTATGTCTTCAAGGCTGAGATTGGTGTTTTTCAACAGCTCATCCTGATGCTTCTCAAACACCTTGCGCAGCGATGCTCCCATTGCCTTGCTGTACACATTCAGCCCAATCCACGTTCGCTTCAGAGTTTTTGAAGACACGTCCAGATTCCAAGGGTTGGAAACGATGACGGCGGCGGACAGCAGGCATTTGTCGGCCTCCTCGCCCACATACTACCGGAGATCTGTCAGAGTTTGATCAAGACGAATCCCGAGCGACTTACATTGGTCAGGATATTGGCACCGAGAGAATATCCGATGCCAAAGATTGGTCGATTGGGCCACGTCTTCCTCGCCCACTTGACAACCTGTCGAACGTCCCAAGTGGCGCGAGCGTTGTACAGCACGCTTGTGGTGATTTTCGATCCAGCGCATCCCCGACTGTTGACGACCAGAGCCTCCCAGTTGCCGCCAGAGAGGCCGCCGGCTTTGCGACCTTCTGGCGTCTCCGCAATCAACGGGGCCAAGACGTGTCGCAGATATACTTCATAAGACCCCCCGCTCAGGCCGTGGAGTGTGATGAGAAGGGGCTTGGTGTCGTCGGATGCCAAGTTGTCGAATTCTTTGTCGCTGAAATAGGATGTTCTTGGAGGAAAGCGGAGGTGGCCAATGCCTGTCGGATCTTCTTGCAGTCCCTCGTATGTCGCTGGATCGTCTGGGGGTTGAGTGGCAAAGTCTACAGTGAAATGCCCGGCGAAATTGGAGTCTTCTGCGGAAAAGACACGGCGCTTGTAGTAGATGGGCGGGCCATCGGCTTTCGTTGCAGTCCAAGCAGTCTGAAGGTGGCCATTGAATAGAAGGGGGTTGAGATAGCAATCTGGAGTGGTGTCTTTGACGAGCTCGGGAAAGGCGCGCTTCAAGCCTGATTTCGTCTCGAGGATAATGGGCTCATCTGAATGTGTGAAAGTGGTGGTGCAGCGTCCAGGATACCAAGACCACGCCATTCTGGAGGAGATGTAGGTATCTGCAAAGCAGCGGCGGAGGATTATTTGATCGCTTTGTCGCTGCCGAGGTTGCAGGTTGAAGAGATACGGCGATGTCGTGAAATTCGGTGAGGGCGTCGGTCACTCCGGCGCATGGCCGGTCCCGCGGGGCCAACGCGCGGAAAGTGCGACCTCACTCCTTCCGCAGACGCGTTTCCGTCACCAACGAGGAAGGCACGAATCAGCATGGAACCCATCAAGCGCAACAGAATGTGAGACGCAATATGCAGCAATATCCGCACGGCTACGTGCAGAATGGATACGCGGGCTATGCGGGATATGGCGATGCGCCTCAAACGCAGGCGTTCCATCCACCACAATACCCGGCGCAACAAAGACAGCAGTATCCGACGGCGCACGTGGTCATTCCGCAAGTGCCAAGGCAGAACTCGCACTCTTCCGACTTTCACCTCTCGCCGCACCTCCAACACATGCATCCGCCCGCGACTGGCTACCAACAACAGCCCGTGCAGAACTACAGGCCCGCCCCTCATCAGCAATACTACTCTTCGCATCCTCAGCAAGTCTTTACGCAGTCGCCATCTCTGCAGCCTCAGCAGGCCAGGCAGTATCCCAACCATCAGTTCCATCATCCCGAATCATATCAGACGGCCGCGTCTTATCCGCCCTACGTCCAAAACACCAGCAGATTCCCGCCGCGACAGGATTATGTTGCTGCCAGTCAGCCCGTCCAGCGCTTCCAACACGCCCCTCCTCTCGACCAGTCTTTAAGACCGGCTCATCACTCCGGGCAATCTCATATGCTCTCCTCCCCCGATCCGCTTCACGCATCTCCGGCTCAACTTCATCACCGACTTCCAATGACACAGCCTCAGCAACGCGGCCAGGGCCCTCCTCCGCATCATCGCAGCGCTCAGCAATCTCAGACATCTCGAAGGGCGCAGGAGAAACCGCCGCAGCAGCGTGTGGTTGCTCGGGTGGAGATCCCTGTGCCGCACCCGATCGCAGCTCTCCCGGACATGCATCGCCCGCAAAAACGTCGCAAATCCGATGATGGTCATGCTGTGTCAGTACCTTTGAAGCCCAACTCCCAACCTCGACCCAGCCATGCCGCCGCCTCGTCCTCGCCTCTGACGGAACTGGCGTCATCTCAACTTCCACCCACACCGAAACCACATACCGACTATCAAGCGATCCTCCTGGCCCTTGCAGACGAATACATCACCGCGGCGTACTCCATCAGTGTCCCGGCTGCTTCCTTTGATGCCGCAGAGGCAAGTCGAGAGCGGTACTTGTCGCTAATCTCCTCTGCAATGGCCTGCCTGGAGTCTGTCTTGATCAACTTTCGCCAATCTGATCATCGGCGAGAAGCACGGACTCGCTTGCGTCTGGCTGCGCTCATGATTGAAGAGACTGACAATGGTGAAGACGCCGAGCAGGTGCTGAGCCAAGGCATTGCACTCTGTGAACGAAGCCGACTGCCGGATTTGAAGTATGCGATGCATGTTTATCTTGTCCGTTTGATCAGCAGAACCTCCTCCCGGGCCGCGTTAAAGTCCGTCGACAAGCTCATCCAGGAAGTGGATGCCTTGAACCTGCCCCATTGGGCTTACGCTTTCCGATTTCTCCGCATCTCGCTGACTCTGCAATCTCCGTCGCACGTCGACCAGCACGGCCTGCTCAAGCATCTTGCTGCGATCTCTACAGCTGCTGAAGACAGCCGCCACATCTCTGTCAGTATCATGGCGTCCATCTTCGAGGCAGTCGTACAGCTTCGATCTGGTGCAGTGGATGCCACCGAGCTCGCTCAGAGGGCCTTGACTGCAGTCCGCACTCACCAACTCAGCCCGGAAATGCAACGACTGCCCCAAATCGGAGCGTTACTCGACTGTCTGGACCTTGGCTGCTGTTTGACCTCATATAAGCTGGGTCAGATTGAGAGCAAGCTGGAGCAGATGCACGCCAATCTCGACAAGCTCACCCACCAGGCGGGATGGCGCAAGGATGGGACGTTGAGCATTGACCTGGGCCCGTACTCAAACGATGATCTCGCAAAAGATACGTGTGGCATCATGGCCATGTCCAAAGGAGGACAAGCCGCCCTCAGCTTCCGTTGGCTCGGCAAAGACCAGCTGTACGCGCTCGGGTATTTGTTGAGTGCTTTGGCTGTCATGTCCAAGAACCCCGAGAGCCAAAAAGCACAGACGTATCTCCAGGAGGGCCTGAAGTTGTGCAATGCCCCGCAAGAATCACTCCCGAGATCTCGCAATGCTGCAATGGAAGAGACGAAGCAGAAGTTTTGCTGGACCATCACCTTTCGCACCTGGACCGTGTTTGCACTTTGTGGGCGCTACAACTGGACAGCTGCGCAGGCGCAGATACAAGCCGTGAGGCAGGAAGTTGCCCAGCACGGTACAACCCTCGACTACGGGACTGCACGCACACTGCTGTATCTTGAAGCGGTGTGCGCCCATGGCTTGGGAGACTTTCAACTCGCGCTGAGCCTCTACCAATCTTCTGGCATCCTGCTCACGGACGACAACAAAGTCGAGAGTGAAGGCAAAGATGTCCGTCTTCTTGCAACGCTTAATAGTGTTTTGATTCTGCGCACGCTCGGGGTGGAGGAGTTTGTCAAGGCCGACAGTCTGATGGCAGCTCTCGATCCCCACTGTCAGCATCATCCGAGCCCGGCAATCAGATCGGCTTACAATATCGTGCGAGCCACTGCGAATGGCGGGAAGAATGCGATTACCAAGACCAAGCAATACCTGCAGATTGCGCTCGACGCAGCGAGGACCTCCTCCAATCAGCAGCTTCTCAGTATTGTGATGAATATCATGACGTCGACGCTGTTTTCCAACATCGTGGGCGATCAAGCCGAGAAGTCGGTTCGCGCGGCGGTCTCTCTGGCCCGACAATCCCGCCAGCCGCTGTGGATGAGTGTCGCGAGTGGAATGTATGGTGAGATTATGGAGCGGTGCGGGAAAGGTGATGAGGCGTTGGCGGCGAGGAAGGAGGTGCAGAATCTGGCCAAGACTCTTCCGGAGCCGTTGAAGGGTGGTTTGTCGGGCGAGTAGGGGGTGGACACGGCCGATGAGAGGTGCTGATGGCCCATGTGGACTTTGTTCACCTGTTGAGAGAGTAGGTAGCTCAATAACTTCATCGAGGATTTGTACATTGCCGTGTTGTCCTTCGCTTTCACTCGCTTCTCCATGCTGCCCAAGAAGATGGACTGGAAGGAAGCTGCTCGACGGGAGCTGAAGATGTTGCAAGATGGACACCAAGAGACTGTACCGCAGAGGTCATGTGAAGGCATACTGCCAGAAATCTGTACCGCGACGGTGGGATCAGAGGCTGCAATCACGCAGTTTGAGAGCACACTGGAGAACATCATCCGGAAGAATGAGCGGCTCGACCGTGATGTGGAGAAGGCATGCAAGGAGAAAGATAGGCTGCGAGGGTTACTTGAGGAGAAAGATGAGTGCACGAGAAAGGAGGACCTTGAGATGCGGGTTCAGGAGTTGAAGGATGAGCTGGAATTGGAGCGGCTACGAAGCTCGAGACTTGCGACAGACGTGAATCGATTGCAGGAACAGCTGGACATGGAGAGGAGCGGAAACGCACACCGGCGGCCGGGCTTGACTCTTGACCCGTTCCGAGATTGGGATGAGGACGTTGGAGAGCCATTGCCAAGGTATCCTGCCGTTCGAGTGTGAATTGACCGAAAACTGACTGGCTAATAGCACCGACGGACGAGGAATGTCTAGAAGATTTACCGGACCTTCCATGTCTCGTCTTCTGGGCAAGATCCGTGCAGATTCGGCAAAGGTCGCGAAAGCCCGATTTCGATTGCCCACTTCCAACGACCGGATAATGCAGATGCTGAGCGAGGAGACTGACGATGAACGACGTGCTTCTGGGTGGAAACGGCAGAAAGGAAGATGATTGAGCACGAACAGCAGGCCGGGGTTTCGGGGGATCTGAAAGGCGCTCACGGGAATCTGACCAAGTGACATGCTCGGTGCGAGGGAGGAGATGCAATGTGGGAAGAGAGGTGTGGTAATTATCGGGCTGTACTCAAAACTCCTCTTGCTCTCGGAAGAACATGCCGAAACTGATGATGGTGCTGTAAATCAGCAGTCCACCGACTATACTCATCGCCATAGCCTGGATGGTAATCGCTTCCGTGTGGGCGAGAACGACAGGCAGTGCTGTATCATCTCTGTTAGCATAGCGACAAGGGAAGCGCCGATGTTGGTTTCATACCAATGCCCATCACCACCAGAAAGCCAGTGATGAATCGGCCCAGCTCAACCACCGTATTGCTGCCATTGTCCATGAAATCATCCTGCTGCGCTGCTTTTCCACATATCCAGTTTGGTATGGGGGCGACAACGTAGGTTGCGACGACGAGAAGGGTGAGGTAGTTGCCGAACAGGGCAGAGGAGAGGATGACGAGGAGGAAGCCGATGGCGAGGATCTGGAGGGGTCAGTGGATTGCGCGTCATGTAGACTGGAGGCAAATACTCACAAAAGAAAGAGCGATGATTGTCTTCAAGCCAGGCATGGCCATTGTCCGTGGAGGAGGTTGGGGCTTGCGCGCAGTCGGTAAGGGCGTCTTCTACGCAGGTCCTGGCTCGGCGCAGATCTGTTCCGGCCAGACGATCCTTGGAGAAGCAATTCCAGAGTATCGAGGGTGTGAATATCGCTGCCTGAAGTGTCGGCGCTTGGGAAGAAGACGAGTTGCTCGCGTGAGGCTGGCAGACGCAAGCCCGCCGACTTCAAGTCTCGGCAATGAAGCTCGACGATAACGTAAGCAAGGCCAAAGCTCGGACGGCCTTCGCGTCTTTTCGTGGCCTGAATCTCGACAACTCATGTCCACTGCCTCTCCTTCCCTCCCTCCATCCTCTTTCATTCAAACATCGTCAAGATGTTCCGCAATAACTACGACAACGATTCCGTGACGTTGTGAGTGGTTGTGAACATGGCAAGTGAGGCGCTCCTTTGCTGACTGCGACAAACAGCTCCCCCCAAGGCCGCATCTTCCAAGTAGAGTACGCGCAAGAGGCAGTCAAGCAGGGTTCGGTTGTGGTGGGAATCGTCAGCAAATCTCATGCCATCCTCGCAGCGCTAAAGGTATCTTGCCCTCATCTGCCGTCTTCGATGTCGCCGTCTGACCACTCCCTGCACAGAGAAACGCGGAAGAGCTCTCATCATACCAGCGCAAAATCATCCCCGTCGACACCCACTACGGCGTCGCGCTCGCCGGCCTCGCATCCGATGCTCGCGTACTGTCGAACTTCATGAAGCAGCAATCCCTCGCCTCCCGCCTCACCTACGACCGCCCCATCCTCCTCTCCGAAATCACGTCTCGCATCGGCGACCGCGCGCAGACCAACACCCAACACTACGGCCGAAGACCATACGGAGTGGGCTTGCTGATTGCAGGCGTCGACGCCCGTGGCCCGCATCTCTTCGAGTTCCAACCGAGCGGCGTGACTTTGGAGTGCGTGGCTGGCGCAATCGGCGCACGGTCGCAGATGGCTCGCACCTACCTCGAACGCAACCTCGATGCCTTTGAGGACTGCAGCCGCGACGAGCTCATCAAGCACGCCCTCCGCGCCCTCAAGGACAGTCTGAGTCAGGACAAGGAGTTGACGGTGGACAACACGAGCGTGGGCATCGGCGGGCTGGAGGAGAACTTTAAGCTGTATGAAGGGCAGGAGATTGCATCGTGGCTGGAGACAACATTCGAGAACAAGGCGGAGGGCGAGGCGGGTGGTGGGGAGGGCATGGAGGTGGATAGCTGAGCGGGGTGAGATGAAATGATGCATGGCGAGGCGTTTGAGCATCATACTTTTGAAGACATTGTTCACTGTTCTGACTTTGAAGCTGAGAGGAAGCTTCTGCCATGTCCGCGGAAAGTCAGGTCTGCACTGCCAGCGACTCGCATTGTCAATCCGGCGTCTCCGAATCCTTCGCGTCAACCATGCTGCAACTACGACCCCATCGTCGTTTGTATGTGAATTATTAGCTGTTGGATCTGACGTTATGTCCGAAAACGGAGTGGAGTTTCGGACAAGAGCGTGATAGAGTTCAGGGCTGCTGACCGGCCATTCCGAAACACTCCCAAAATTCATTCCGAAGGCAGCATCCAACAGCTCCGAGCTCCGAATATATATCATCAACGACGCTCCCACTTTCAACATCTTCTCACACTTCTTCTGCTGTAGACAGACTACAATGACTTTCGAAGCACGCCGACGCAATGGGAAAGAGGCCTCGTGCGAGCCGTGTCGAAAGGGTATCCCCATCATCGTCACCACACTCAAACGTCGCTGACGCCGTCAACAGCCAAAGTCCGCTGTGATCACGAACAGCCGGTATGCGGAAGATGTCGAAAACGTGCCCTGCAGTCCAAATGCTTTTACCACCCGGCTCCCTTGACCAAGTGCAGAGAGTCCGAGGCAGCCACACCCGATTCTCCTGCGTCGGAAATCCGTGAGCAGCCTTCAACATCCGGACCGAACTTGGAGCCTACACCCGGTGCGCCTGCTTTCGTCAAACTCGGCAGGCTTTCTCGGACGAGGATGCTGAATGGTGAGAATGGTCACAGAGAGCGAATGTTGATGGTGACCGAGGCACTCACTCATCTGCGATATTTTGGCCTGATCCACAAGATCGTTCTCGAATACTTCTCCGTTGCTCAAGGATCGACTTTCCCAACTGGACTACTTGTGCCTGCACTTGACGCGCTCACGGCGTTGGTCGAGCGCCACGGTCTTCACGACATCTCCGCGTGCTCGAGTGGAAAATTGGAAGAGTTGGCCGAGAGCATCATGCACGCAACTTCCACGCCCGTCAACATTACGCCTTCCTTGCGAGCAGATGAATTCGTCGCCTTAAACACCACCCCGCAGTTCCGGCTGGAGTATCTCGGCCTCATCTTCGCCATTGGATGGCGTATGGACCTACTTGGCCGCGCCCAGAGCGACACGGGGCGCAAAGAGTATATGCAAAGCACCTTTCGGAGCTGCTCCATTTGTCTTCAAGTCGCCCGCGAGCTGACACCCGTCAATGACGTGATTCTGTGGCTCTCGATGGAGACCATGTTGCTCTGCACAAACATCCACGGAGATATGGGTGGGTAGTGAGATCGCAGAAGCTACGCAACGATGCTGACCTGCATGCAGCCGAGCCTGTATGGCACCTCCTCGGTGATCTGTCTTCGGACATTTACAACTTGGGTATCCATCACGAGGCGTCCATCACCTCTGGAACGCCATTCTTCCTCGCCGAATGTCGCAGGAGGTGCTTTCTCAAAGCATACCACCTGGATGGGACGTTCTCGGCGCTTTTCAACCGTCCCCCGCGCATCCTCCGACGCTACTCGGACTGCAAAATGCCACTCAACTTGTCAGACGAAGATATCATCGCCGACCCTGTCCAGCTGGAGCAAGCGTGTAGCAAGCTCACTCCCGATGGCTGGGACGCCGAGGGCAGGTGCTTCCCCACCACCGCCGTCCGGCTGCGTTGCTTGACTGCCGAAATTCGTGAGGATGTAGCGGCGTACGAAGTCCGACCCATGACACGCGAGAATCTCGCCGAGCTACAGTGAGTCTGATGTTTCCTCGACACAAAGTGCACCTCTCACTCACTATATGCAGGGCGCTGTCGCTTCGGAATGGACAGATCTGGCGCAGCCTTCCATCGGAACTCACGTACACCTCGAAAATCTTGGGTGACACTGACCTACGCTACTTGCCTACGGCGATGGCCATGATGAACTCGCTCACGTTTCTGCACAACGACTTTCAGATCTACCGGCTGATGGAGAAGGGCGACCGCCAAGCGGCCGCATCCTTGATTGAGACCGCGAGCAGGATCCTGCACATCGTGTCGGATCTCTCAATCCTCCGGGTGAAGGCCCGGAAGTTTCTCTTCAACGACTCGTCTTTTGTGGTATGCATCCCTGTGCAAGCATTCGCAATCATTCCTGACTGCCCGACAGGCCATGACCTTTGGAGTGCCGAGCGCAGCCGTCCTGGCCACCGCCGTGCAGAACATCGCTCGTCATGGCGTGCATGCTCTCCCTCTCCCGCCAGGCATGTCGCCTTCATCCCTGATACGCACCCTCGCGGGCTTTGTCTACGAGCTGCAGCACCTGTGCGACTCTTCCGAGGCAAACTACGAGGTCTGCCTCCAAGCCCACGCCACTGTCTCGAGCACACTGAACGAAGTTCTCGACGAACTCTGCAACTCTATAGCTGCACCTGTCGTGTCAGATGGTGGCGCTGCAATCGGCGCACTGGATGCCCTGCCTCTGGACGCACTCGAAGGATTCGATCTGTCGAGCTGGGCGCAATGCATCGACTGGACCGGGATCGGGGCGGATTGGAGCTACTTTTGAGTGCTGGCGAGCTGTCGGCATTTCATGACGGCGTACTTTCATCCCTGCATGAGGTTAACCGGTGCCGTGGTCCTTCTCGACTTCCGGGTCCCTGTTGCGCTTGTGTACTGTCGACACGGCTCTGCAACCCGCTCCTCGCTCGCCAGGTTGAGCTGTCTCGGGCCTCATTCGCGTATTGTCGCAAACAGCCAGCCCGCCGCAATGCTTCAGGCATGCTTAGTGGTTATCGGAAGTGTGTGGCGACA